GTGGGATTGTGCGTTCGGGGGGGGGGGGGTTGTGCGAGGCTCTTCTCAGGGGGCCCATGCTCCCGGATCAGCGGCAGGAAGCACCTGGCGTTGCACCCTGCCTTTCTTCCCTGGCTGCTTTTGTGCCCCTCCCCTGCTGGGCTGCCCTGGTATTTGGGGAGAAGGGAGTGGCGTGCAGCCGGATGTGAGGGAGGGGAGGGGGGAACCCAGCCCCTGCACTTCCTGCCCTGCCTGGGGTCAGAGCCAGGAGCCCTGTGCCCCCAGGCAGCAGCTCCAGCCTCAGGGGCCCATGCAGAGCAGCTGAGTGCAGCACCTGCTGCAAGGAGTGGAGCCAGGCTCTCCTGTCTGCCCCACCCTGGGGGGGGCCTGCAGCTCCCAGCACCTGGGGCAGGGCTGAAGCTGGAGCTGCCAGGGTGCAGCTCAGACCCACCTGCCCTGGGAGAGATTCCCACGGCCCAGGCTGCCCTGCCTGGGGTCTGAGCCAAGAGCCCCATGCCTCCAGCCACCCTCCCCCAGCCCCCATGCAGCCACTGTCATCTTTTCCCCCCCACCACAACCAGCCAGAAACCTGTGCCTCAAGTAACAGGGACAGCAGCACTTTTAGTTTACCAGCACCACCTGTTTTTTGGTTCAAATCCCTGTTAACCAGCACAAGTGGGGAATGGGCTATTCCCCACTCATACTGGTTAACAGGGATTTGAACTGAAAAAAGGTGTAAATCAGTAAAAACTGAATGACTTCAAAAAAAAAAAATTGGTAAAAACAGAATGTGGAACTCTACATGTTCAGCAGGATCTGAGTATTGTCCTTTATCAGTGCAGGTAGATTAAGAGAGGGTGCTGAAATAAAGGTGGCTAAAGAAAGGGCTTGAGAGTTTCTTTCCCACTTTCCCCATAAAACTCACCTTTCTGCTATTCATACTTTTTTTTTTTTTAATTTAAAAGCTGTAGCCAGCCCTGTCTGTGTGTGTATATAATAGTCTCCTTAGAGACTATTATATACACACACAGACCAGCAGCTACTTAGCCATAGCGATGCATTCCCCCAATACAGCGCATCACTATAAGAAAGTAGCTGCTAAATAAGCATGTGCCGCACATACCAGAAGGAAGCATGCCAGAAGGAAGTACTAAATCATAGCACAGTTGTAACTTTGCTATAATGATGGATGTAAACCTGCCCCATGAGTCTGATTTAGATCTCTTATTCATGTAACTCCCCATGACTTCAGTGAACTTAGCACTGTTTTGTTTTGTTTTGTTTTTTTACTGGTGCAAGACCAGAGCTGGGCCTACTAATATTTTTCAGGCACACATTTCTGTTTCAGTCAGTATGTGTGAGGTGTACATAAAAATACTTACAATTCATTTCTTTTTGTACTCTCTATAGCTCAAACTGTACAAAAGTTTTAACAAATAAGTTCCCAGTTTCTGTATTCACATTCTGTAAAGTCCTATCTTGTATAAACTACACAATAATTAGTTTTGATTAAAAATATATAAAAATAGGACAGTCTGGTATAGCCACGTTATCAAAACTATTTGGATTGTCCTGCCAATATTTTATAAAAATATAGTAAACTTGATTAAAAATCTGCAGAATTCAATTGTACAATATACATTCTTTTGCAAATATAATTCTTTGCTTTAAAAACACACTTGTATGTTAATCTGCAAAGCTTCACGGCCTCACTTCTTCCTTTATTCTTTCTTGGCTTTATTTGAAAACTGCATGCAAAAGCGTTGTTAAAGGCAAGAGCAGCAGAGTAGGTCTGAAAGCTGTCGAAGAACTGAACTGATAAAGAGGTTCTGTAGGACACAAAAGCTCCTTTGGTGTCTGAATGAAATCCGGGAAAGTGAAGTCAAGTCTGAAAGCACTTAAGTTAGCAGTCCCATCTGGTACGTCCAGTTGCTTCAGTTCTGATGGAACTCCTGGTACTGTAGCCTAAGGACAAATAGAAGAGGGTTCACACTAGTCTGGTTTGCTCATTCGAGTCATTTTTAGTTGTATAGTTTCCATTGCAAACATTGTTGAGTGCTTCTTTGCATAGCCTAGGTGGTTGTCCAAACATGTTAAAGTTACTGAATTAGCCATTTAAATGAGAAGAGTATGACATCTTTTACAAATATTTTAGCCTATCTACAATGAAAAATACAGATAATGTGGGGATACGGTCTCATTTGGCAATCTTTTTCAGTGATGATTAGTTGATTTTCCTTTTCAGTTAGGATTTAGTTAACTTTGCTTTATTTTATGTGTTGATTAAAAGAATGAATGGTTAACTTGGTCATCAATGCGATTTAGAAACCCTTCGGAGGGGAAAACTATTGGATGACTAAACTTGTGGTCACCTATCAGAGGAAAGAAATGAAGTCTGCATCAGGTAATAGAAATGAAAATTCAGTCTGAAGAGGCTTATCAGGACATGCATAAAGCAACCACACTAGTCAGATGTCAGTCTTGTGACAGATGTCAGATGTCACTGTTTTCTTTGTTTTTAAAACAGGTTTCTACCATGAAGAATAACCATATAAAAATAGCAGTCTCTTGCTTAACCAATCCTTTCCCTGGGTGCAGTCACATCTGTTATTTTTAAAAACATCTTTTCTCCCTGAGCCTCTCTGGGTAAGGCTGATTATTTATTATTGGGGCTGATGCAATCCAATTTCTGATACAGCTGGTAAGTAGTATGGTGGCAGGGGAGGAGGAAGGGAAGTGGTGTGTGGGGGGAGGCAGATCAATACCCCCACGGTGAGGGAGGTTGCAGGGGCAGGCGCTGGCCAGGGAGGGGAGAGGGAACGTGGCTCCTACTGCTGCTTGCATCCCAGGAGGGCAAGGGGCAGGGGGCTTGTGCCCCCCCTGGATCTGTGTGGGGCGGGCTGCAGCCAGGGCTGCGTGGGGCTCTTCTCAGTGGTGGCTGGGTTTGGAGCAGGCACTGGTGGCACTGGGACAATGCTGTATCCATCCTAGATTTGGCCACAGCTTTGCTCTCAGTGCTGCCGCTGCCGCCAGCACAGCCCTGGCTCCAATGCCCCTTCTCCAGCCACATGCTGGGAAGAGCTGGGGCTGCGCTGGGTGGCTGGCAGTGGTGGCTGCACTGGGAGTGGAGCGGCGGTGAAATCAGGTCGATGCAGCATCCTCCCAGTACAGCTGGTGCTCGCTGAAAGCCCAGCTTCTCCTGAGAAGAGCCCCAGCTGCAGCCTGCCCTGCCTTGCACAGATTTGGGGGGCACACCCCTCTCGGGGTGCAGGCAGTGGCAGGAACAGTCTTCCCCCTCCTCCCGCTGCCTGGGCGGTACATGCCCCTGCCCCCTCCCTCACTGCAGGGGGTGTGGATCTGCCCCCCCACCCCCACCCCTTCCACCATACCAGACTTACCAGCTGGAGGCAGCTCTCCAGCTGCCAGCTGTGTTCCTTGCTGCCCGAGTGGTGTGCTGCAGCTGTGCACAGCACAGGTATTTATCAGCCAAATTACTGGCCCCGTTGTGCTGATATCTGATCCAACCAGTTTTCTTTATCTCAGTACCGATCCAATATCGGACTGATATATCTCTAACTGGCACCATCTGATCCACTGGCATACAGCAACTAAAGGCAGCTCTCGCATTCACTCCAGCTGCCAGCATCCATTACCTGTGGTGCTGCCACCCTTCATGGCATCAGGGCACCTTCTGTGTCAACATTGCTCTGTGATGTCTTGCTAAGAAAGGTGCCAGGCCAGTCTGAACTGTCAGCATCAGACTCCATGCTGGAGCCCGCATTGGCATGAGGGCCCTCTGTGTCAGCCTTTGAACTGCTGCTCCCGGGCTTCTTATCTGAGAGGCTGCTCATTGATCATTCTGGAAATGACCTGGACTCTGACCGGTCATGCCTGTGCCCCCTTCCCCTGCAAGGCTATCTCCTTCCTATTCCTTTGCCTCTTGCTAAGAATCCAGAAACCTTTCCAGAGAGAGAAGTGGCCTGTGAGACACCCTTCCCAGAGTCTATAGTCTCCTTTTATGTCCATGTAAATGGACTGGTCTTCAGTATTGAAACCATTTAAAGGTTGATTTTTAAAGACCACATAGATCAAGGTCTTGATCTTTTGGCCTTGCTTGCTGCTGCTTCTCCACCAGCAGCTCCCCTGTCTCTGGAGCACAAGGACTTTTCAGAACCAGGTGCAGGTCAGCTATAACTTGGTCACCCTAACCTCTTTTCTTCCTGGTCAGCAGACAAGCTTTTACTTACCATCACTTCAACAAGAATAAGCAAGACCCATCTGCTAATGGCAAATCATCAAGGCACTATGTTCCTTCTAGATGAGGTCTCCTTGGAGATATGTTCCAAGTTCCTGCCCAAAGCTATTAAAGTTTCCCCAGCCAGCAGACCTGTCTGACAGTGTTCTTTATAAAATAGCACTTCTCAAAGGCAGAGGCATCACTTCATACTTGAGATGTCAGGCAGACCTGGTCTTCTAGCTACAGATGACTTTTAGATCACTCCTGTGGCTCTGTGCTGCCATAGTGGAAAGGTCAAAGGGCACAGGGCAATCTCCATCTACATGCTGTAAAAGTAAATCTGATTTTGCGGTGTATTGCAAGATGGGAAAGATGGAGCCTTCAGCAGTGGTCAGAGCACATGCTCCACCAGGGCTCAGCTATCATCTGTGACTTCTCAAGAATGCAGATGTGTAGGACAGACACAAGGTTGCCACATGTGCCTCTAGTTTATTGTCACTGAGTGCTGTCACCATTGAAGCTTCCAGATCAGACTCTGTTAGAGAATGCAGTCCTGCAATTTGTTTTTGCCTAGGGCTGCAAGAGACTACCTCCCATGGAGGTATGGGATCACCTACACTGGGATGGCCCTATGGGCAACAGCTCAAAGGAGAAAGAAATCATTTAATACAGAAAGTAGGGAGGTTTGAGATGTCTTCTCCATATACATGTTCTAGATCCTATCCTCTTATACAGAGCCCCATGGCACTCTGGGAGTTTGTGGCTGAATTGAGAGGGAGCATGAAGTGCCCTTTACACACACACTGTAGATCACGTGTGTTGTGCCAGCCCTGTTAAGGCAAACAGAACAATGTGCTCTACTTTCTGTAGTGAGTAACTTAATTTGTCACCAATACTGAGGTCACATAAGTCTTTAGCTGGTTGGTTCAGCACCTAGGTGCTAAGGTTTGTCCAACTATGCAATCTTCAGAAAATCCTGAAGAGTTTTCTAAGAAACATTTTTGGTAGCTAATATTGGCAAACAGCTCTGGATACACAGTGAAAAGGTGCCATTTTTCTCACAACCCGTTTTCCTCATTACCACCTCATTTTAACTGAAAGCACCAGTAGAAAAAACATTCAAAATATGCAAAAGCACAATCTGTTTAAGCATCTTACTGACAGGCAGCAGTTTTGTTCTGTCATGCTAGTCTCTGCTGCTACCTCACCTTTGATCTGTGCCCACATTAGGCCTCTTGAACCCTTAAACTGCTCATTTCCTAAATGCCAACTTGATCAGCATTGGTTGATGTTGCTATCAAAAGGTAAACCGGCACTTAGGTGGAATTTCTGCTTGTGCAGATACTGCATGTTTATGAAAAAAGTCCTAAATTTCATAGTATTTACTGTCTTGTGGTTTCCAAAACTCTCTGAACATAATTAGGAACCAAGATTTAAGTAAAGCAAGAGTCTTACATTAATTTTGTATTTTCCAGGCAGGAGAAGAAGATAATATTCTCCATGTTTGTTGGTTTTGTAAGGACACACATGTTGCCTTCCTTCAGCTTCCACAATTGCATTCGGTATGGGTTTTCCAGACCCATCAAAAACTTGACCTTTAACACCTAGGAGCAAGGGTGAAAGAGAGTGAGGGTGCAAATATGACAAAGGGTCAGGTTCAGTTTCTGGCCTGGCAGAGCAAGTCCTTTCAAAGTTGAATGCACTGTGTGCCAGTTCTATTTATTTCCTCCACTACTAGGTGAAAGAGTTAGTACTCGGGACACGTCTACATCACCAAGGTGGCCAGGTCAGGCAGCAATGCCTTTAACTGTGCTCCTTCATGTAGGCTGTGGTATAGCTGTTGGCACTGCAGCTGGCAGGTTAAAGAGCATTGCTGAGCAATAGTACCAGATCTATCTGCAGCACTACATGAAGGAAGCCACACAGCTCCCAGTTTGGGAGGCAGTCAGCATGGAGCCAGCCAGACTTTTTAAGGCTACTGCTGCCCTGCATAGGAAGTTTGTGGTATAGCTGTGCCCCAAGTGGGCTGTAAGAGGACTGGCTTATTCAGGTTATGCCTTTTTGATCTTCAAGGTCCTTTCCAGCCCTAATGTCTATGAAATGTTATTCCTGGCTGCAGCAGGAATAATCCTCTCCATTCCCTACATAGCAAAGAGGAAAAGCTATACTCCAAAAAGCAGGGATTTAAATCATGATTGGAATCATTAGTCAGGAAGCCTTGATTTAATCATTGTTTTCTACAAAAAGTGCTTTCTTGTTGTTTGATGTCCTTTATTCATTTAACTTCTTGAAACTTTGCACTTTTAGAGGTAAGGGCTTAACTGTGTACACAAACTTGTAGAGAGACAAGAGGGATGAGGGGTAGATAATCAGGTCTGTTAGTTCTCATCTCCATATACTGCTGTTAACAAGGATGTTCTCTCTGGAGACACAAATCCATTGGTAACTGAAACTAAGCAACACGGAGATGTTTAATGGGATTTTCCAGACTGAGTACTGGGTAAAGCGGTCCTACTGGGTAGAGTGGTTTTCTTTTAATATTTACTAATTTGTAGAGGAGCCTCTGGGAAACCCATAAGAATGGGCCCCTAATAGTCCATGGCCTGTTGTGACCTATTTTATAAAAGTTTTAAAAAGATTACATGAATATATCGTCTCAAATAGTATATAATTAGAAGTTATAATCCCTATTCCAAAATGATATATCTTTGATCTTTTAACATATCTTAAATTAAAACTATCTCTCTTGATATCAGTTTATTTTTTTTAAAAAGCATCTTAACAAAAAATAAATATAATTACATCCAATTTTTTTATTTAAAGAAAAAAGTAGTTGATTTTTATCCCCCCTGCCAAAAAGGTACTCCAAAAAACCATCCAGACACTGCTCCTTAATAGAAACAGCCAGGTCACTACACAATCTCTTTGGAGTCACGCTGCAGAGAAAGCTGCAGTCCAGTCCAGATTGGCTCAGCTGAATAGCCACACCAGGAAGGGCCGCAGCACCCTGGCTGTTAAACTGAGAAGCACGGTGAATGGTGACTGCACATCCTGGCATGCCATGTGCCATTCACCTCAAAGGCTGTTCTACCACCAAGAGAGGGTGTTTCAGAACACTTTTACATGTAAACTTTCATGGAATAACTGATCTCAAGTAAAACTTGAGGTAGGACCTCTAGGTGTGCTAGCATGTGAAAGATTAGTCACACTCCAATGACAGATCCTGTCAAGAAAGATCTTTTTTTCCCTTGAAAGGAAGTTACAAGTTTTCCGTCAATTTATGCTGCACATGAGTTCCCAGAGGACGGCACATAAATCGAATTTGCATAAAGCGCATCCACTTTACAACGTAACAAATAGGGACAGGTTCCCATGGCAGTGAGGGAGGGAGTGAGGCTGGGACTAGGGAAGGGGTAGGGGGAGAAGTGCCACTCCCGGGGCTGCACAAGGCAGCAAAGCAGAGGGAACAGAGTGGCACTCACCCCAGCCCTGGCTGCAGCGGCCCCAAGAGTGGCCAGCACCAGCTGCCTGCAGCCACTGGGCTGCAACGTGCTCCGCCTGTCCCCACTCACCTCTGCTCCTGGGCTACACCTGGTACAGGCAGCTGACATCGGCTACACCTGGGGCTAAAGAGGTGGGGTGAGCCCAGGTGTGGGGGGACAGGGAGAGCACAGTGGAGCCCAGTGGCTGCAGGCCATTCCCAGGGCCACTGCAGCTGGGGCTGGGGTGAGTGGGGCCACGGCCCTTTCCCCTCCCCCCACAGGCTTACCTGCTTGGGCAGTGGGGGCATCTATGCTGAGCACATAGGAGTGAATTTACCTCGCATATAACAAATTATGGGTCTAAATATGCTCACTGCATAAGAGCAAATTCGCATATAAAGAACTTGCATAAATAGAGGGAAACCTGTATTTGATAGCTTCCTTGCTTCTACCCCCAACCAGTTCCAAGGAGATCCCATGAACTATGCACTCTCTGAGGCCCGAGACTTCTCTGCTTTACTTGCCCAGTTCCGGCAGAGCATGGTCTTTACTTGTTGCCTGGAAACCTAAGGCACTACAACAATTAAAGCATGGTGTCATCCTGCCTGCTGGTGTCCAAACCAGTTTCTACACTCATGTTTTTTAAAAAAACAAATGCTACATTTCTACAGACCCTGTGACTCTCTAGTTCACTATAAAATACCAGAGCTCTGTTAAACAGAAATCTGCTCCTTTCTTTTCTTTCTAGGACAAGGAATTAGAGCACATGCAAGCAGGTCTGTCTTTAAGCACTGAATGGCCTTATGGATTCATGAGGAATTCACATGGAAACTAGAAACAAGCTACTGTACAGGGCCCAGAATGGAAAGGCAGCTTATACGGGAGCATAAACCGTGTTTATATATAGTTGGTCTCACTTAAAATCACCCATGCTCCTCTGTTCCTTGCTGCCCACTTGTACAGTTTTTGACCACGTGGGGGCAGCATTGCTACGCATCACTGATAAAAAACCTAATTCCTTAACTCAGGCTGCTTCTCTGTGAAAGGAAACCAAAGCTCTAGTCTTTAATTAGCGAACATCCCAATACAAAAACTCTCCCATCTACCCCCTGCTCCAGCCATTTAATTGTTCAGAGCCCTTAGACCCTCTGAAGTGTGACAGTTACCATTTTAGGTGTACTGCATTGCACAGAAAATTAAAGACCATTCAATCTCAAACCACAGGTTTAAAAAAGGTAGTTTAGGGCTTGGTGCTTCCCTGATGCTGGGGGGGTGCGGCTGGAAGGGCTCCTCTGCGGTGACATGAGTCACCATCCTGAGCTGACAGGCAAGGTTTCTATTTAGACCCTGTTTATGGGAACATGGGCAAATATTCCTCCTCCTTGTGCAGATCAAGATGAGGTGCTTAGGTTGTTTCCACAAGGGCCAGTATTACAAGAGATGAGCATGATGGTTAGTGTTACCAAATCTTGCAGCATTTTGTTTTTTTCAAGCTGTGGTATGAGAATCTTAGTGAACAAAGTACAATTTCAGACCTCAACGCCATGGAAAAACACTTGAAAAAGTACATCCCAAGTAGATGCTAAAGGACCAGAAAGCACAAGTAATGAGAATCCAGGGCGTTTTCTTTTTAGCCTCAGCTTTAGACCAGTATTTTAAATCTTTTGGTATGAATGATTAACACATTTTGAACCTTTGGAGCTGGCACAATAGCCGCTGCCCCCTCAGGATGCTGCATTGTTGCAGGGTGTATGCATCTCTCTCACAATGCACGGTAGCATGCCAAATATTGAAGGGATTTGTCCCAAGAGAATAATGGTTAATTTGCCACACAAACATGGCAGTCCCACAAGAAATTGCCAATTCAAACAGCAACTCCTTTGTTGTACCAAGACTAATTTGACACCTAGCCAGGTCTCTAACCCTCCACAATCTCACAGTGCTCTGCTCTGCCTCCCTTCCACCTCCAAGGCAGAGGGAGGGAGGGAGGAAAGGACAGAAACTGGATCCCTGACAGCCCACCCAGCAGGAGCCATCGGGGACACTTCCAAGATGCCCTGTCCCTGTTGCTTAGCACCATCAGGGATAGGGTAGCCAGGGCAGGGGCTACCGGGTCTCAGTTTTTCCCAGGCACAGGAGTTGCTTGGCACATCTGTCAATGCCAAATCCCCTGTAGCTCCTAATCCTAAAGTCTTTGTGCCTCTTCTTTTCCCTCCCAAATCTGTAGTGTTGGAGGGCAGAGCTGGAAAGCAAGGCACATCCCCATTACTGACTGCTAGAGGCTGAAATATTTGTGTGACTACTCAGAGTGCCCACGGGATTTGTCATGGTGTGTTTGTACTCAATTTCCCCGAATCTCCAGGTGAATGCAAGACATTATTTTTAGTGAGTTCAGCTGTGCGGTAGATCTGCATGAGAGAGACTGCTGGAAATTTTCTGATGGAGCAAAGTTTTGATTAAAAATTCTGGTTCATTGGGCCCACAATACTTCATTCAAAACCCCTCTGATTCAGCAAACTCTTCCTGCAGCCAAAGCAGCACTCCAAAGGCAGACCTACCTGGCAGATCTGGCTGGGAACCCTGCGAGCTCCCTGTGGCACTCAGTAAAAAGAACCCTCCTGTCCACTGCTGCCTTGCAGTGGAAGTGACAACACATCCCTTTCATCAAGCAGCTGCAAGGTCTCTAGATTTGTATTTATGCAAAGAAGGGCTGCAGAAATTGACCCTCTGCATGGTCAGTGGCTTGTGAGGTTTCTGATCAATGATTCCCATGCTCATTATCTGGTTTCTAAAATGAGAAGGGCACACACAGCTCTGCTATCTACTTTGTTAATTCAACAAGAACCAAGAAAACCTGATAGCAGCAGCTCTCAGTTCTAGCCGGCCACTGGAGAGCAGGTTGTATTTCTATTCCCAGGTCAGAGCAGCTCAGCTTTACTACCTGTTAAAATAACAAAGCCTACTCACCTAGATGAACTTGTTTAATGTATTCAATCAAAGAAGCCCTGTTGTCATTCCAGAACTGCTTCAGTTTTCCTTCTGGTGGATATTTACAGCATGACAGCTCCAATGTAATTTCAAAACACTGTCCCCAGACATAGTTATAATCCTGCATCCCACCTAAAAGTAAGCGTTAATGATTACTGTTGAGAGCAGCAGTCGGTAAGAAGGGGGTGAGGAAATGTCAAATCTTCCCTAACCTGCTACATGGCAATCTAAGGAAGTATTTCGGGAAGGCAAGTATAAGTCAGTCAGACAAACTACTACCAGCTGAAAAGTGCAACTACTTTTCAATTCTGCAGTCACTTAGTTTTACAATCCCCTATGGAAAGCCAGCTTGTTGTTTTAACAAAACCCAAACACCTCCAGCTATAATATGTGGTGCTCTTCCTAGAGCAATGCTAGCTTCAGTTTAGTCAGCCCTTCTCCAAAACTCTTGTGAAAATGTTTGTAACCATTCAGGGACAGACAAATCCACATTTGAAACAAGGTCTGTCATGGTCAGTAATAAGGAGACTTTTGGGAAGTATGAAGGCTTCATCAAGCTTGGTGAAAAAAATACCAGTTGATGACCAAAATAGCCTTCTAAACTTGTACAGTGTCACTTCCCATAACAATACGAAGCCACAGAGCGTGGTTAACCACGAGCCTGTATACAGTTAACTACATACAGAAATAAATCAGTGCATTCATTTCAGTAATTAGCCAGGTAGAAAGCTGTTACATGATAGTGGTATTAGTTGTCTCCTTTCTAAAAGAAAGTGGCAGATTTGATGAAACGTGTTGCCAGTAGTGGCCCTACACTTGATTGACTAAGTAAAGGTAGTAGGATTTTGGCCCAAGAGGCTCAATATATTTGTGCACCTATGTTAATGCACAAAAACAGGTTGACAGCAGAAGGGAAAGGGGAAGCCTTAGCAGTAGCTTGTCAATCAGCAGTGACCCGTGCAAGCTGATTAAGGAAGGGCTCTCCAGCTAGCTGCATTTTTGCTACAGCAACAGCAAAAGACATGGGCCTAAGGACAGGGAGGAGCTGAAGACCCAGTCAGTGGAAGCTGGCTGTTGTTTAGATTTGGATCCCTATCCAGAAAGGCTCAGGGCAATGTTCACGTATGTGCTAGTTCAGAGACTCTGCAAATGCTTGTGCTTTACACTGTTCACAGTAACAGGTGCAACATGTTTGCACCTACCAACTTCACTGGCAGTCAGTTCAGACTTCAAAAAATTCTATTGCAGGTAAAGCCACAGCTGTTATGGAGTTCAGGAAGAAACCTGTGTCCAAGCATACAATAAAAGCAACGGAGAGAAGAGGAAAACTTTGACACTCTTACCTTTCAATGGGTACCATGAATATCCATTTGTAATACCATCTGGAAAGGTTTCCACATTTGGAGTGCTACATGAAATCCCTCTCGACATGGTGGCATGGTGGGAAGCATAGGATTTTGCAAGGTATTTGAAAACATCATCATCTTTGGTTGCACTATAGCGCTCTGTAGTTATCGCATCTGTGCAATGAAGATGGTGATGGTATGACCCTGATCAATATTACAATGAATAGCTCTGTATTTCACAAAAAGATATGAAGCCCTCAAACCTGCCTATCAGTTTCTTGTGTCCCAACATATCCCACAGGAAAAAAGGACAGAAAAAGGGCTTGGTAGGTCTGTAATGGTAGGAAATTAGTTAAATAAACACATGCTCTGATGATCCTAGGAAGAGCACAATGCCTCATGTTATAGAGGAAATCCAGCCCCCTCCTTAACCCCCCTGTCGCTCCCCCAGCAATCCAAGCAACCTCAACAGCCTTCTGGTTCTTTCTTACGTGGCAAAGTGGGAAGTCCCAGACTAGCCACAGTGCTAGTCTCCCACCTGCCTCTGGGCATGCTGCCCGCCTTTCTCTCCTGCCATGCCTTGTTGTTCAAAAATTAAGGTCTTAATTAGGCGGGAAGCCTATGTTCTCCTGGGCCTATGCATGCAGCTCCAACCACCCCTATACTGCATCCCAAGCCTTGCAGATGTTCCTAACAGCTCTGCTCCAGCCTCAGGCTGGGCTCAACTCATCCCAGTGTTAGGCCTTGCTTTCTTCCCTATCACGGTCCATACTCATACTGCCTCCCTCTCACCAAGGCCTCTCTCACTCCACCACCTCTCACCCAGTCTCTCTCATACTGCCCCTTTGCAGGGCCACTCTCATACCGCCCCTCCTTTTCCTGGGGCCACACTCACCCTGCCCTCACCCGAAGGGTCCTGGGGCTTGTTTCCCTGCACTCCCCTGCCAGCAAGCGCACGGCCTCTTGGGCCTCTCATCCGAGCGAGCACTGGGCAGTTTGCAGAACACTGGAGCGACTCTACCTCTCATCCCTCACCCAGCTGCTCTGAATTAGGGGCTCCTGACTCGCCCCGTTGTTTTCCTGTGGCACTTTCTCAGCCGCCCCACCCAATTGGCCTCTGGCCCACCTGTGGCCTCAGGCTCCCGAAGGCTTACCTGGACCTAACCTGGCCTCCATGTTAGCAGGGCCTACCCTCGAGGCCCCTGCTCACCGGGGTCCACTTCACACCCTTTCCTCACAGGGCCTCATCTCAGGGCCCCTGTTCAGAAGGCCTCACTACTCACCCCTCTCGGCATTCACATGTTGTAACTATATCCCAGCCCCTAACTTTGGCCTCTCTCCTTGGGCTCTGAGCCCCTCACTCTCCCTGGGCTCCTTCCCCCCCCACACACAGTTGGGGCTCCTAACCTCTGGGCTCCTTGCCTCTTCGCTAGGCTCCATGCCCTTTGCTAGGCTCTCCACGCCTCCCAACTGCCGCTCTAGTGAAGGCCATTAGATGCCCCACTGCACCCTGCTCTACACCTCTGCCTCCACTGAGGCACATACTCAGCCCCTTATGCTGGGGCCCAGGGTCAAACACCCCCCCGCCCCCACCGCAGGCTCAGGTGCCACTCACCGATGTGTCTGGCCCACCACTCTCACTCCTTGGGGTCTTGCACCCCACATGGGCTCAGGTGGCCACAGCTGTGCCTGGCCCCAACTGCCTCCGATGTTAAATAACTCACCCGAAGGCAGGGGCTGGGGTTTAGGCTCCCCTACTCACCTTCCACCGGGGTGGTAACTGGCCTGGCATTTCCTGGGGGCTGTTCTGCCACACACCTCCCCGCTTAGAATAGTTCCTGGGGGAGGTTCCCCCTGCTGCTTTGCCAAAGCAGGGTTCCCTCAGAGCCTGTGAAAGTCCTCGAGTGGCAAGCACCCCCAACAGTGCTCCACCACACACCTCTCCCCCTTAATCGTGACATTCAGGGGCTTCACTTGGCTGCCTTCTCCACCGGCTTTGTCCCAGTCTACTGCAGTCCCTACTACGTGGCAAGCACCCCAACTGTGCCCTGCCATACCTGTTTAAATGGCTGAAGAAGCACTTGCTGTTTGTTTTAATTTTCTTTGCAAAGTCCAATTCACTTAAGCCTTTGTCAATTCTTACTTTATTTTTCTACCTTTTTGACCTCTAAAAGATTTTCTTCCTCCTGATCAATCATTTTTCTCCACCCCGCTCCCTCAGCTCTAAGTTTGCAAGGCCCTGTTCAAAACTTCAGGGATTTTATTTTTTTGTGACTAAAGCTCTTAAAGGAGAAACACAGGTATTAGCTTACCTGAGTAACTGTTATCAAATGGGAAACTGGCAACAAGTGCCCCACCATGCAAGTTAGCTGAAAGAACAAATGTTTCGTTTTGTATCCATTTCATCACTGCTTCAGTCTCTGGTTGAGTTTGGACCAGGTTACTTTTGAAGACATCAGGGAAATTCCTATTCAGATCTTTCTGATTCATATTGTATCTTACAGAAAAAACAAAATCCTATTTGCTTGCATGTAGACATTTCCAACAACTTGATCAACCTTAAATGATTTACAGTGCTTTGGTTCTGTGATGTGCTAGTGGCTGGAGGAAACAGGATTATTTAAACAGTGCATAGGTAAATGAGCATGAACCTGTTCTCACTTAACCATCAAATAAACTGACATAATTCCCCATTGTAGAAGTTATTGGCCTCTGCATACAATAGAATAATTATTCTACCATGACAAGAGTATTTCAAATGGAAACACTGATTCCTTTTCTGTCTCTCAGAAAAAACAATATTGTGGCATAAGTCAATTAGAGAATGCACAGCGTGTTTTTTCTACTTGTTTGGGAACGCACACGTCTTTCCTATGGCTGAGCCACTTGTAATGCCATCATCCTCAGTGTGAAGCAATATAAACAATGCACCTACCAAAAGGGTGCCCTTTTCATCTCTGAGAGTACTTGGGAGTGCCAAACTGTTCCACCAATCCCATACTTCTTCCTTTCTCCTCTACTGCAAAGTCACTGTGATTAGCATTTAGCTAGGGATTTGTTCCTTTTAAACAATCTCATTTTTTTAGTGTCAATCCCCAGGATGCTTCAGCCACTGGAACCCCCCACAAAAGAACCACCTACTTGTTTCAGGAGTAAGTTATTTTAAACAGGGCCTACTTTAGTTGTGCAGTGTGCCAAGTAGTATGTGCATCTACATGACACACTGGTTCCCCCTAATGCTGCTATGGCAGCTAAAGTAAAAGATTCAAAAGATCTTGGTCCTTAGCTACACAAGTACTCCTATTGTATTAGTAAGAGTTGTGTTGGCCACTTTCTGCGTTTCTGTATCTTCCCAAATTTGTTCCTCTGGTCTCCTTCTTCCTGTCATTTCTTCTTTGTCTTTGTCTGTGCTCTCTCTTTGTTCTCCTTTTTCTAGGTTTTTAAATTTTCTTCCCTGTTTTGATCTCTGTAGCAATTTAAATTAGAACATGCAAGGACTGCAGACAGGGCAGTGTTACACAAACACTCCTTCTACAACAAATTCCTTACACAGCTACCATGGGGCAGATCCAGGGTTGCACTGACAGGGATATAGCCCTGTCCCCTTCAGCAGTGAGCTACATGAGCAGTGAAGAATGCTCATCTGCCCAGAGACCCTGCTTTCAAGCAGCTCTGGAGCCCAGGGAATTAGTACCACTGCATTTTGCTCTTCCCTTCTCTTCCTTCCCTATCAGCAACAGGAAAACAGAGGGGAGGGGATGGGCAGCAGTAGTGCACAGCCCCTGGGCTCCCTCTGTCCCTTCTTTTCCTTGCTGCTGAAATCAAGGGTAATTGGGGTGGAGGGGAGCAAGGGAAGGGCAAAGTGAACAGTAACAGCATTTACCCCCTGGGTTCCACAGTGGCATGTGAGCAGGGACTCTAGGCAAACCCCACGCTGACCAGCCAGTGAGCTCATAGAGCTCCCAACAGAAGCTCTGCTGCTGTGCCTCTGGTTCCACCCCTGATAGCTACCATGAGTTCAGCACAGGTTGCACTTATCCCTGTTACCAAGACTGCCTGCAATGGGATGAACTTCTTAAACTTTTTTTTGTCACTATGGATATTTTGCCAGTGTAACCAAAGCCTAGTCTTTGGAGGCTTCACGTAATTTTCCTGTTGTTGACCTAGCATCAGCTCAGCCATCGTGGAAGAATGGCAGACTTATCAGCAGCTTCTATCTCAATTTGCTGAAAGTCAGATCTGGAACTGAAAAGGCTTCAAGCTTTGGGGTGGACAGCTGAAGAAGTGCCTTAAATTATCTGAGCAATACTGTTTTGGTAGAAGCCACTACACAGCATCTCCTCGGGGACAGAGCCCTCTCTAGTGGTCCATTCTGCCTACAACTGATGCAGAACACAAATCATCTGAGCTGCAGAAAGCGTTTTACAGTAGGTTTATGGCAGTGCTGGGAACCTATGCTTTTATTTAATAAAAAAAATTGACAAATTTGTTTAAGAATTGTTATATTGTTTTCTTTGTTGATGAGAGAGATAACAAGCTGGGTTTGAACATCTGTAGTGTTAAACATTTTCTTCTTTTTGTCCAGCAAACTGAAAACAGCCATGCTCTACCTAATCTGAAAATGAGGAAAAGGTCCTTTTGCCTGCCATTAATTCTGTGACTATTTTCATTTTTGGCACCCTAAGGATCCAGTGATGTTGTATTTCTATTTAGAAATCAGATATATGTAGCTTAAAGTTTAAACCACTTTAAACTGCGATCAATTCTCTCAAAGAACACACACTCACAAGCAGAGGCTTGGATCAGTCCTCTGCCAAGCTTCATGCATTATGTCATCAGAACACCACAGGCCAAATTTATCTCTAAGTCAGCTTAGGCTGCATTGATAATTACTCACCTGTTATGACATACCCCCTCTAACTATTAAAAAAAAATTCACACCCACCTCCTCTGCCCACTTCCACACACACCTTACCTTCCTTTTGAGAAAAAACAATTAGGTATTTTTGTAGCTTCAAATCCATCTGGATTCATTGATGGCATGATATGAATCCGGGTGTTATTGAGTAGCTTTGTGATGACTGGGTCTTGCTGATCCTTGTCCACCAGGAATTGTATTAAATGAAGCAGCAATTCCCTCCCGACTGTCTGTGATAAGAAGCACAGGTTTAAGGTTTTTTAAGTCAGTGATGAAGAAAAGGATGAATTCAACACAATGCTTGTAGGATCTGGCAAAGATAATACTGCACAATATAAAAAAAATTCTAGCAATCAATCCAAAATAAAAAATGTTATGGTCAGCATTGCTTTGTCACAGTTCTCAGCCTCTATATAATTACATGTATTTAGATTATGTGGTTTGTTGTTTTTGTTTTTAAGCTTGTATTTTGGTATCTGTTTGGGATGCAAAGACAGGAAAGGTCCAACCCCAGTTTGAGAGGAACGTGATGTAGCACAATCTACCCCCATGTCCGTCATCACATTTCATGTAGTGTTTGACATGAATTGAGTTCATCAGGGCACATGCAATTCATTTCGGATGAGGAAAAAAACTACTGAGCTGCTGGGTCAGAGAGAGGCATGGGCAGACAGAAAGCTGCATTTCTCTCTCTCTTTCTCTCGCTCTCTCTGTGGACATAACCTTGGGCATCTGCATGCAATTACCAATGTCTCTATTTTGTTTTCACTCTTTCAGGGCCTAGAATTCAACCAAGACAACTGCCCCAGTAAGTGCCAGTTCTATCTTCCAGGGAGGTAAGAGTGCTCCTAGACTTCTCTGTATGTGTGTGTACACATGTGCATCCACACGCACACACACACACTTAAACTCTCTCTACAGAATGGCTGTGTTTTTTAGTGTAGACCAATTGCTAGGATTAAATATAATGTGTGGGTACATAAATCAAAGTTTTAAACCAGTGTTTTAGAGTTCAGCACAATACAAAGGCTTGTGAAGTCTTGAAAAACTAAAAGAAAGTTAAATAATTGTTTACAGAATTCTGTCTTTAAGATTTGGAACAAAGACTACAGGAAATTCTGAGACTATGGCCTCATCTGCTCTCACAGCTACTCGGAACCGTGCATAAGAGGGATGTATTCATATGTGTGTAACACCTGATGTCATTACAACTAAACTGGAGCTTCTCCAAAATGCTTAGAGATATTTTAGAGGCATTCTTCATTTTTTCCTTTTTTTCCTTTCCCTCCCTTTTTATTTCTCCTTCCTCATTCCTTCCTCTCATGTACTCTGTAAGCACCTGCTGCACTCCCCAAAAGGTTATATATATGTGTGCCAGTTGAAGAAACATTAGGCAAGGCTCTTGCAAATAACTTAAAGCAAACTTTGATTAATGTAATCCTCAGGAGAAAAAAGACACATCCACAGAGGTTAGGGAAATCTTATTAAAAACCTGCCATCAACCACAATGTTCAAACACAGTTGTAGCTGAACAAGTGTTGTTCCCTCTCAAATCCTTGACACTCGCACAATATGCAACATTTACACTACTGATCTCTCTGCCAAGCAAAACTTCGGGTTTAAGAATGTTTATTCTGCAGGATTTTATTTCCTTCAGGGATGCCAGTGATAAGATATAAAGCTGCATGGTCTGGTTGTGCAAGACAGACCCCACTTAAAAAAAATCTGGCAGTTAAAACAGATGAAGTTGCTTCACAAAAAGACTGGGTACAAGCAGTCAAAGTTAAGGTAAAGCTACAGACATAAATCTTTAAACTGAAAAACAAAAATGATACCAATTCAAAATTGGAGCAGGGGTCTCTTCTGTTAGGAGTTTTCTTATCCACGCTAATTAAGAAAGATGTAAAGAAAGATTATGGCAGAATCACCATGGGGCTTAATGCTTGAAAGCGACTCAGCAGAACCACTCTGACAACGAGGTGAACCACTCTGACAGCATGGGGACTTGTAACAGAGCTGTCATGAAATCACATCTAGGCAGAAGACCTACTCCTCACTTCTTACAATTAACTCCTGCTTTGGCCAGGACAGAGAATACACTCCCCTCTCTGGCTAACATCACTTGTCCAAAGGATGCTTTTATTTCCCAGGGATGTCCTTCTGATGGTTCTGAATGATTGTAGCTCCATAGCTGGGGTGGGAATAGGCCAAGACTTGTGAGTATATATGCTCCAGCATATTCATTGACACTATCAGAACAGTCTTGCAAGTTATAGCAAGCTTATGCATGGGTTCCCTTTTAGTGCCATGGCATTTCAATGCTTTTTTAGAATAGCATTTCATCACTAAGATATTTGTATAATAAAAAAAAATATCAAGACCAAGAAGCATACCATAGTTATATTGGATGAAGCCAGTGCTCTCTATAGATAAGCATCTCCCTGCTTGAGAGTGGGCACAGGTTACAGCACAGGAAGAAACAGTACAGGAGAAAGGGGAAAGTAATTCTCTACAACTGTTTGCTCTCAAATATTTCCTACTCTGGCTCGTGCAGCAAACAGGGAGCAGACATGCTGTCTAGCAAGAACTCTGCTTCAGGAACCAGACTCATAGTTTCATAGTGTCATGGTTAGTAGGGTCGGAAAGAACCGGAGCAGATCATCAAGTCTGACCCCCTGCCATGGCAGGAAAGAGTACTGGGGTCAAACAACCCCAGCAAGGTGATTGTCTAGCCTTGTCTTCAAGACCCCCAGGGTAGGAGCCAGCACCACTTCGCTTTGAAATTGGTTCCAGATCCTAGCCGCCCTGACAGTGAAGGAGCGCCTCCTGATGTTTAGTTTGAATCTACCCTCTGCCAGCTTGTGACTGTTATTTCTAGTCACTCGTGGCAGTCCTCGGGGGAACAGGGACTCCCCCATTGCCTGCTGGTCCCCTCTGACTAGTTTGTAACAGGCCACTAGATCCCCCCTCAGCCTTCTCTTGTGGAGGCTGAACAGGTTCAGGTCCTGTAGCCTCTCCTCATAGGGCCTGCCCTGCTGCCCCCGATCATGTGAGTGGCCCTCTTCTGGACCCTCTCCATGTTGTCCACATCTCTCCTGAAGTGCGGCACCCAGAACTGGACACAGTACTCCAGCTGCGGCCTGACCAGTGCCACACAGAGGGGGAGGATCACCTCCTTGGACCTGCTTGAGATGCATCTGTGGATGCCTGACAAGGTATGGTTGGCCTTCCTGACTGCATCCCCACACTGCCGGCCCATGTTCATCTTGGCATCAATGATGACTCTAAGATCCTTTTCTGCCTCTGCACTGACAAGAAGGGAGTTCCCCAGCCTGTAGGTATGGTGCTGGTTCTTCCTCCCCAGGTGCATCACCTTGCACTTGTCAGTGTTAAATCCCATCCTATTCTTGTCTGCCCACCCCTGTAACCTGTCTAGGTCTGATTGTAGCCTATTCCTTCCTTCTAGCGTGCCCACATCCCCCCACACTGGGGGGGATTGGGAAAGGTTAGCACACACACTCTGTTGTTCTTCCGGTTACAAGCAACACGTGCCCTGACCATAACTGACTTGGAATCACATGTGCAGTAGCCAAGTCTAGGACCCTTCACCTACAATGATACCCTCCTAGAGAGGTTATATTTGGATTTTCATGTTAGTTGTCCCTGCACAGGCACTCACAGGACCTCCCTCTACTGTTTGTGTGGGTAAAGGGACAGGGTTCCTTTACCCCCCATGCCAGATTTGCAGCTGAAATGCTTGACTTCTGTCTTTCTCTTCTGTGAATGGATTCTAGGAAGCCACTCAGAGCAGCCTGCCAGGGAAAAGTTTTTAAAAAACTGTATGCTACCTCACTAACTCTGCATATTTATCCTAGTTTCCATGGAATTTAACTTCTTGTGGGGGGAAAAAAACCTGTTCTGTTACCAGGGGAAGAGTGCTTCAGGAGTTAGCTCATTTTATTTTATGTAAAACTTAACAAGGACGGAAGCAACAACACCTGACCAGAGCCTACAGAGTATAAGCAACTGGGCTTGTTTCTTAAAAGCAGTATTGGGCTCAGCAGGGGAACAGCTCAGATGGGAAACACAATAGAGTAGAAAAAAGAGAAGGGAGAAGAGATGGCCAAGTCATGGCCCTGCCAGTGGGAGAGGAGGCTGGTTCATGGAGAAATATATGAAAGCCCCTTCCCACAGAGAGGACTGCCCCAATCCCTGGACATTAAATTAACCTCTTTTGTTTCTGTTGCACTCCAACTATGTGTTCATTAAATGCTTGTGGGGGCTCAAGAGCAGAACAGAGAGGGAAGGAACAGAGAAGGCAGGAGATGGTAGGGAAGAATAAACATTTACACGTAACAAAAGCATGTGTCCGATGGTCCCATGGTGCCATATCATAATCTGTTCAAGAGTAGCTAAGGAAGGTTGTAATGATCTGTTCCCAGCTGCTGTGTCTATTCTTGTCCTGTTTGTCTCCTCCATTTTCCTCTTTCCCTATTTCTTCATAAATGGTAGGCAGCCCTTCAAATGTAAACTTCTCAGATTACATGCTCTACTAATGACATTCATGGGCACGCAGGACTAGTACTTACCAAATGCATAGTAGTAAAAGCATGCTTATGGTCAAGACATGATTACACTGAAGCTTACACCACCTAGTTTTATGGCTGTTGCTGTCATATTCAATGTCCTTACAGTTGTGCACTCAGCAACATGGCTGATGTCCATCATGTGCCATCAGTCCCATCATTTATTCCCCAGGGAAGAGTTTAAGGGAATACTTTATTTCAGTGGGGTTGTAGGGTTTTTTGCTTTCATTGTGTTTGTTTACAATGTACATGCTGCACTGCATTCATTAGAGAAGGCAAGGCTGAAGAAATTTACTTTAAACTAGAAGCAAAAGGTGGCAAGTCTTGAGAGGGGCCTTAGTTCCTGTGGGAACACACTGCACAGTCTTGAACAGGCCCCTTCTAAAACTCCATCTCCTGCTGAGATGAAACTTACCCTCCTGGGGGACGGGTTCCCAGTGAGCCTAAGGAACACACTTGGCAACTTTTGTTGTCATCCCTGAGCTCCTGGTTGTCTTTTAGCTATGCTGGGCCCTGGTCAGTGAGTGTTCTGAAGATCAGGACTGACACTTGATATTTGGTTGTTATTCTGCAAAAAGCCACCATGGGGAGCAGGGCAGATCAGGTTGTGCTCACTGTAGTATGTCTTGCTAAAGAGACAGGCC